CCATTGATCTTGTGTTTGCTGGGAAGCGTGGGTGGCTTCTTTTTCTACATCATGCATTATTTTTGCGCTGAAGTCAGCAAGGACTTGTGATTTTATCGTAGTCCGTGGTTGATACGTGATATCATGCTCACTCAATTCTATAGCCCATTTAGCCAATCTTCCCGATAGCTTGAGCTTATGTAGAATACTTCTCAAGGGGGAAGTTGTGACTACTAAGATGGGGTGGCACTGGAAGTAGGGCCTAAGCTTTCGCGAAGCTATGACCAAAGTCAGTGCCAGTTTTTCGAGGTGGGGGTACCGCATATCGGCGTCGATTAAGGTTTTTCTAATGTAGTAGATGCGGGATTGCGTACCTTTGTCTTCTCATACGAGGACTGCATTCACCGCTACTTCAGATACGACAAGGTAGACGAGCAGACGTTCCTATGGTTTTGCTTTGGCAAGCAAAGATGGCGATGATAGGTAGGCTTTTAACTCCTTTAAGGCTTGGACGCACTCGGATATCCATACGAGCCCGTTGTCCTTCTTAAGCATGCCGAAAAACTTGTGACATCTATCAGATGATCGTGAGATGAATCTCGACAATGCGGCGATGCGACCGGTTAGTTTCTAAACCTGTTTTTTGCTGGTTAAGTGTTCTGGTATTTCCTCAATGGGTTTGATTTGGTCGGGATTGACCTCGATGCCTCTTTGTGATACTAGGAAGCTCAGGAAGTTTCCTGAAGTTACGCCGAACGAACACTTCTCAGGGTTCAATTTCATCCCATACCACCTGAGTATGTCAAAGGCCTCTTTCAGGTGGTCGATGTGATCTTCTTTCTTTTTGGACTTGACCAAAATGTCGTCTATGTAGACTTCCATGGTCTTGCTGAGTTGGTTTTTGAACATTTTGGTCACCAACCTTTGATATGTTGCCCCCGCATTTTTTAGTCTGAAGGGCATCACCCTGTAACAGTACGTTCCTTGATGGGTGATGAAGGTGGTATTCTCCTGGTCCTCCTCTTCCATAAGGATCTGATTGTAGCCCGAGTAGGAATCTAAGAAGCTCAGCAGTTCATGTCCGACTGTTGCGTCAATTAGCTGGTCAATGTAAGGTAGCGAGAATGAATCTTTGGGGCACGCTTTGTTTAAATCCGTAAAGTCTACGCACATCCGCCACTTTCCGTTCTTCTTTTTTACCATGACCACATTGGCAACCCATTGGGGATATTTTGATTCCCTGATGGAGCCGTTTTTAACAATTTTTCGACCTCCTCACGGACTGCATCGTTTATTATGAAATTGAACTTCCGCCTAACCTGCCTTACCAGGGGTGGAACGAGTTGACATTCAACCTGTGTATGGCGACCTCCTTCGGGATACCTAGCATGTCTGCATGGGAAAAAGCGAACAAGTCCGCATTAGTAGTTAAGAATTTATGGAATTTACCTAGTTCTTGAAGCTTGCGGCCGACGTAGGCTATCTTGCTGTGGCCGTTATCATCAAGTTGAGCGGGGTCGAGGTCTTCTACAGTTGATCCTATGGCGTCTATTATTTTGGGATCTCTGATGACGTCCGTTTTTTCATCACAGCTCGACCTCGACATTGTTAATTGCTATGCATCCTGTGATTTTCCCTTCATTTGTCGGGTATATGCACAATCCTGGGTGATGCGATAGCATTCTCGGGATGTGCGTTGTTCTCCTCGTATGCTAAATACTCCCCATGGGGTTGGAAATTTGATAACTTAGTACAAGCTGGAGGGGATAACTCTCATGGAGTGTATCCAAGGTCGACCTATTATGGTGTTGTACGCCGTATCATGGTCCATGATGTGGAATGTGGTTTCCAGAGTGACGTCGCCTGTCAGGACGGGGAGTGTGATTTCCCCGGATGTTCGTTCAACTGCATTATTAAAACCTGTTAGCGTGATGTAGCACGGTACTATCTTATCCTTGAGTCTTATTTGTGCAAGTACTCGAGGATGGACAATGCATGCGCCGCTCCCATCGTCCACCATAATGCATCTTACATATGTATCTAATATTTTTAAAGTGATTACAAGGACATCATAGTGAGGGAAAACCAAACCGTGGGCATCTAACTTAACGAAGATGATACTTTCTTTGAGTTCGTCGTACCGTTCATGAGTGATTGACCATTTGAGCTTGTGGGTTGTGGCGAGCTTTACGCTGTTGATCAAAACGTCGTCGCCGCCCCCGATGCTCATTTGAATGGTGCGCGTCAGTGAAAGTAGTTTCGGCGGTCCATGGTGTTGTTCACGTCTTCGGGCAAAGTTTGTCCTTCCTCGGCCGCTCAACAATTCTTTGAGGTGTCCTTGATGAAGCATGTTCACGACCTCCTGTCTTAGGGCGATGCAGTCCTCAGTTTTGTGACCTCGCTCTTGGTGGAACTCGCAGAGGGCGTTTGATTTTCTAGTGCTTGGATCTGACCTCATCTTTTGTGGCCACTTTACTTTTGGTCCGAGCTTCTCCAATACATAGACTATTTCTGAGGGTGACACACAAAAATTGTGAGTGGATAGTAAAGGGGGCATACCTTTCTCGTTCCAGTGAGACCCTGTCCTTGGCCTAGATGGGCCCTCTTTGTGGCCGGGGAGGGGGGAGGGGTATAATGGCGCTTCTGACATATGGCTAATGCCTTTCTCGGTTGGATCGTGGAGCTGCAAGGTCTCTCCTGGCATCATTTCTTCGATAATTTCTGGTTTCGACTTGTACCGAGGTCAATCGATGGGTTGGTCCATTCAGGTTGTCCTCGTCGGCACAGACCTCAGCACAATAGGCGCTGTGTATTTAATCCCAGGTGGTTGGAGAATATTTCATAAGCCGACTTAGTAGTTTTCTGTTCGCCCTTGAGCCATTCCTGTTCAGCCCGTTCTGGAAAGCTGCTACAACCATTCCTTCCGATACATTCGGTAAGGTCATCCTTACTATGTTGAATCGAGCGAGGAAGTCCCTCAATATCTCTCCGGGTGATTGTTTGATGGCAAATATATCGTTCACTCTTGCCTCAGCCTTTTTAGCCCCAGCATGGGCCGTTATGAACTTTCGTCCATATCTTTGAATATTTCAATGGAGCACGCGAGCAACTGTGAATATCAAGTTAATGCTCCTCCGATAAGTGTCTCGCTGAACTTTTTCAACAAGATGGAGGAGACTTGTTATTTGGCGAGATTATTGCCTTTTACCGCAGTGACATAGTGAGTTACATGATTTTCGGGGTTGGTCGTACCGTCACAAATTTTCCGATAAGGTAACATCTTGAACGTCTTAGTCTTAGGTATGGCATGTGGGGCAACTTCATCACTGTAGGGTTGCTCGACGAACCGACCGGCGTCTCTTTTTGGCAAGAGTTTTGGGGCACCCGGTATTTTGTCAACTCTTTCTTGGTGTTCTCTCATTTGATCCCGAAGCATTTTGGTTTCATTTTCCATTTCTTCCATTTTTCTCAGAATGGCCGTGAGGGTGTTGTTACATGCATTATTGATATTATGAGTGATACCTGTTACTGAAGGGGGAGGGCCGTGTTTCTTGGTCGTTGCTGGTGCAATGCAAGTCCTTGCATTTTCTTTAACTGCCTCTTGAGTGGGCTTGTTGAGGATGCCGGTCAGCGTGTTTGTCAGCCAGGCCTTGAGTAGCTTCTTCACCGCCTCTTCCGCTATGGACGTGGAAACTCCTTTACCATGGGATGCTGTGATCCTGCCGTGAGGGAGGGGTGATCCACTTCGTCGGGGAGAGGTGTTAGGCGTTATGTCTTCGCCTTATGTTTCGGAGACCTCATTGATGGCGTTTAAGAGGTTGGTAGTGAGATCGGCCACTGCCTTCATCCTTTCTTCTCCCTTACCTGCCATGTCAGATCTGGGTGTACAAGGAAGTAGGATTTTTTTTTGAATTGTGCCAGTTATAGATCTAGAAGAAACTAAAGATTTAACTAGAGAATCCCCACAGACGACGCCAAATTGTTTAACCAAGAAAAGTAGACGTTTGATTAAACTAATTAATTTAATAAAATTAAGGACTTAAACCTAGTTGATGATAATAACTTCAGATCTATAATTGATTGACACAGATAACGCAAGAACAGTATTGGGAGAAGAGTAAATGTAGTGTGCGTTTAATGTTCCAAGATCCTTGATGATGGGGGAATATTGAGTAATCAATAGCAATAAATGACATTAAAGTAAATAAGGAGAATGATTCACCCAATATTGCTAAAAGTGGGTGATTCTTCTTTCTGACAATAATGAATGAAAGACCAGTACTAGAATGTTAGGACTTTTCTCAGATCTAACAGAAAAAGTGTGGAATAATAGATCATTCAATCTCTTTAGAAAGGTAATAGTTGTCTTTTATTTAGAGAGAGTGTATGTCTTACAAATGGTGTTTTTCTCAGCGCCCAAAAAATCCCCCTTTCTTCCCTATCTCCTTTTCTATTTATATGAGACATTCTTCAATCAACCCTAAAAGTACATACACCATAGAATATTCAAGAGAATATTCTACTACGAAAACTAGTTGTTAGTACTACCCTTCATACTCGACCTCGGCCGTTATTAACTCTTCGGCTACGAGTCTCATTTTCTACTAATCGACCTCGTCCATATCGCTTTCCACGGTACCGCTTCGTGTTAAATCTTAATGGAAGCAGATTTTGACCCATACACTTAGTACTCCAATTTTTTTTTTTGTGTTGAATGTTTATGTCAATAAAGTAGAGTAATTTTTGGGTATCAGGTATGGGTCTTTTAATTGAATATCATATTATAGGTTGAATTTTAATTAATTAGGGGATAGTTTAAAATAGACTAATAAGATGATGGCATGTGGCCTTTTTGTTAAAATGAGGGGTATATTTGTGTCAAAGTATAACAGCAGGGGTATATTTAGACCCAAAGTATAACAAAGAGTATATTTAGCCATTTTTCAATAGTACAGGGAAATATTTGGTACTTCTCCGTAATAATAATAACAATAAAAATTCTGACCACGCCGCCCATATACCTTATCTGTGTTGGTGCTCCGAGAAAAACCCTACCAGTACCAGCAACGAATTGTCTTCTGTCCAAACCATTAAAAAGCAAAAAAATAATAATTTATATTTTAAGAATAAGTCCTCAAATAGATAAAAAATTTAGGCTGAAACCTACCCACCCTCCAAGACGGAAAGCCATTAGCGCACAACAATCTTCGTTGAAACAAAACAAGCCCTAGCAGCAGATCTTGCTTGACCTCTTCGTATAAATACAAATTTTCATATCTAAAGTCTATTTATAGCTACTTCCAGACAAGGCCAACCCAATTAGCCAATTACATATGCTACGACCCATTTAATTGTTTTAATCTACTTCTCTCCCTCTGTCCCAAGTTGTCTTTCCCTTTACGGTTCTCAAAATTTAAATTACTTGAGTTTTGATTAGTATTCTAAAATATATTTTTTTCACAATAACATGATCAGAGTTATAATTTATAGTACTTCTTAGAAAAATTATCAGTTATGTCGTCTCACAAGTAAGCTAATATAAAAATTAGCCAATTCATAAAATATTATCAATATTAGCAATTAGCTATTTGTAGCCAAAACAATATCAATTTTTTTTTGAGTGAGTGATGTTGAAATAGATTGGATACATCATAAGGAGTTTAAATCTCAGTTTTGGGATGATTTGGTAGAGTTTTGAGGTGGTTTGAATTGAAAATCCGAAGTAGAAGATGAACATGGAAAAAGATGATATGTGTATCACATTGTGTATCATTTGTGTATCACATATGTATCATATTTGTATCAAATATGTATCACATATATATCCATGTATACATGTGTGTGAGATACATGCGTGATACGTGTTTGATACAAGTGTCGCAGAAGAATTTTCTAAACTTGATTTAATTACGAATTTTGATACCAAATAAGTCCAAATCACCTCCAATCTTCCTCAAATTTTGTATATTGACTGATCTATTTGATTTTAATGAATTTCGACCATACCCTTTGAAAATGGTCCCTTTTGCTTAGATTTTTGGAATCTTGTGTGTGTGTGTGTGTGTGTGTGTGTGTGTGTGTGTATATAATTTTTTTTTTCTTTTTTATATTTCATCACCTTGTTTGCTACATCATCCAAGAAATTTTCTTTCCGTCTTGCCTCTAATGTTGCTAATCATGCTTAAAATATATGGAACGAGTTCTTTGCGTGTGATTCTTGATGAGTGTCACACCCCTTTTTACCCCCAAAAGATATATATTATGGATTGTTGTGGGTTAAAGAGTTTTTTCAATTGAAGTGTCATTTTTTGAAATAGAGATTGTTTTAATGTTTAGAGTCGCCACTTGGAATTGATTTTTGGGTATTCCAAGTCACATTTTATTTGAATCTCTATTCAAAGGAAGATTTGACTTATTATTATTATTATTGGTTTGAGAGAACATGAGACTGGGTAAGGATTCTATTGACCAGGGAGAAGGTGTGAGGCACTCCCCGAATCCCGTGGTTCTAACACGGTCGCTTGATTGACTTAAACTTGGCTTGAGTTAATTTTGGATAAACTGTAATTTATTTAATTTTTCATGTTTTACCTATGTCCTTTTTTAGTGTCGATTATTAGAAATATTAAAGAATTATTTGGACAATATTATATTGTCATCACCACGCTACGCAAGCGAATGCGTGATCAAAAATAAAAATAATTAACTTATCATAATCCCGCCTCGCAAGCAAATCCGAAATCATGAATCAATTATTTGTAGTAGTTTTGAGAAATTACTATATTTGTGCTTGAGAAAATTAATTTTGAAAAAATGTTACTATCGCGCTACGCAAGTGAATCTGCGATTATAACTAGGGATTAATTAAATTAGATATTAATTAAAGTTATTGGATATGGTATAAGATTATTGAATTAATTGAATGTTAACCATCACGCTACGCAAGCGAGTCCGTGAATGAAAAAGTTAAAGCACGCCTACTAGTTGCCTAGCGTTTAAAATTAATTAAACAATAAACTAAGTTTTTGGATTTTTATTATTAAAAAGGATATGGAGAATCAATGATGGGCCAGCTCACTTGTTTTGGAAAAGCTGACCCGTTTTGGTACTAGGCTGTTGGCCCCTTTTAAAATTAAATGGCCATTGGGCCAACTGCTGGTTATTGTTTTTGGGCCTAACATTTTATTTTGCCCAGTACTTGCCCCCATTGTAAGTCTCACGAGAGACTAAGAGCACAAACAAACAATCAATTATTGGTACTAAAATTAAATTAATTAATAATATTGAAAGGACACAAACTAAAGACAAAAGTCAATTAAGAATCATATGGGCCCACAAACTTTAAATTCTTCCAGTTTTCAGATTCAACTCTTAATTAACAAGTCCTATTTCCTAGATTTAAGTCCTAATTAACAAGGCAAACATGGATCTTCTTTCAACTACTTGACATTTAAGTGAATTGAAATTATGTCCTATCAATTTGTTAATTAACCTATAACCTAGCAAGAAACAATCAAATAAGAACACCTAATCATTGAAGGCATCACTTCAAACTCACAAAATGCCTAAATCAAAACTATACCTTCACGAGAATAAATGAAGTAATCCAAAGAGAAAATAACAAAACATGAAAAATTGAAACGCGGCTTCGAACACTGTCGAAGCGAGATGACAGTAAAGAAGAATGAACTTAAATGAAACAAAAATTACTTAAAACTTTCACACATTTGGACAAAACTTAGTTTAAGGCATAGCTGAAAATAGTTCCATTTTGATTATTTGAACAGCTATATTCGACAAGCATAACCACTTTTGTCTATGGATCGAAATTATTAAGCCGATTGAGGATGGTCAGATTTGATAAGCATCAATATTCATGATCAAAAGAGATATATCATGTACGTCTCTAAGCTTTGAAACAATAACAGTTATCTAAAACTTCCACAACTTAGATTCCAAACATACGGACAACCATATTTGCATACATTAAGCTAAAGAACATGTCACACGGTGAAAGTAAACATCCAAAACATCACGATTCTCATTCATTTTTATCACAACGGTCATATAGAGGTTAACAAAATACCTTGTTGCATAATTTCGAGAAAGAAACAACAAGAAAATCTTTTGATATCAAAGCTACTTGGAACCAACAAGCAGAACTAACAGTGGAAGCAACAACAATTCAGCAGTAGCAGAACCCAAGAATTTCCTAGAAAACCCAGCAAGAAGCACTGGAGGCTAGTAACTATGTAATTCCAGAAGATAAAAAAAAGATCTTTTGTTTTCTCAAAGATTATACACTTAGAAGATCACTCCCAAAGCTTTCAGTTTTTCAGCTTTCTTTGATGTTCAACTGATGCCTTTTTACTCTATTTAGTTGTGTCTTTCTTAGAGTGTAAAGATGTTCTCTCCGTCTGTCAGAGTGTGTGAGAATGAGCTCTTAAGTAAGAAATAAAAGCACCTTTTGAAAAAATTTTGGTTTACCAAAAGTATGTCCAAAAGGACTAACTTTGTTACCAAATACCTGCCCAAAAGACTTACTTTTGTGTGCTAAAAGACTGTTCAAGGACTGTCCAAAAGGGAAAAGGGCAGTCTTCTCAACAATTGTGGCAGAAGCATGGGATGAATGGGTACTTTTAGCCACTCTAGCACTAAAAGGTAAGCTGCTAATGTATCCAAATACATTATTAAACTAACTAATCTTCAGCTTTTAACCAAATAACAGTACCACCCTATGTTTTTAAAGCAAAACACAAGCAACCATATGACTAGACTTAAGTTATAAACCAAACAGACAAACATAATTTGCTAAGTAACAACTAGATTAACTACACTTCAACTCAAAAAGCAATTTGAAATCAAACGACCCATTTGAAAACATAAACTCAATTATAAGTAACAACTTAACAAGGAATTGGTTATGAACTGATCAGAATATCAAACTAACTAAACTCATAGTAACTAAACCAAAGTGATAATCAAGACCGAACAAACAGTAATTAACCGATACTAGCTAAACTTTAAACAACAAGAATCGATATGAGTTAGTGTTTGTTGAAACTAAACTAGAACAACTATCATAATTTAACAAAATCAAAAACACGAATTACATAATTAGGAAAAAGCATAAACATATAACATAAATTGAAACCTTATCTTTATTGCTAATCAAAATAAAAACTACATTAAGCGTTACACTAAGATGACCACTAACATAATTTAAATTAAACAGAAAACTACAATCAAATACCATTGAAACAGTAAATCAAAAACACAGAGAAAAAGATTAGGGTTTTACCGAAATGCTCGAGCTTCAAAGAAGTAGTACAACATAACTAGATGGTGAATCGAGCTCCACGCCTTTTTTTCTTGATGACAATTGCCGAAAAACACAAACTTTGGCGAAACAAAGTTGATTCCAGCACTATGTCAAAGAGAAAGAGAGGCTACGGGGTCATGTTCATGCTGAAACAGAGGCTCAGCGGTGGTGAGGTAGCGGCAGTGGGGTGGCTGGCTGGTGTGGTGCAGAGCTTGGGTCGTGAAATCGGGTAGAGGAAAGTAAGCGGAGAGTGGGGTGTAAAATTTTTGGAGTTTTGAGGTGGTGTGCGGCGGCTAGGGTTTAGGTTAGGCTTACATTTATGGAGATTGAGAGTGGTTATGGGGATTTGGGGTTCAGATTGGTATAGAGGATAAAGAGAGAAAGAGAACGATGTAAATTTTATGGTGTTTGGACGCGTGCCATCATCGTGTGGAGATTTCCCGCGGAGGCGCCACCGTGGAGATGAGAGGAGGCAACAGATAGAAAGAAAGTGGGGAGAGAGGAGAAATTGGGAGAGTAATAATGGAAATGGGGAGAAATTCGGGTATCTAGGTGTTTATTGATCTTGAGCCGTTGGATCAACGATGCTTGAATGACTGAGATTGAATCTTAGTAAACTAACTAAAATGACATCATTTTGAGGCGTCCAGTTGGGGCCTTGAGCTGGGTGGGTCTGATTCTTTGGGCTATCGATTTTATGCCAATTTTTGCCTTAAAATGACAAGACCA